AAATGGGGCAGCAGCATCTCCTGACTTGGTTGAAGATGGATTTATAGAACCAGAAGAGTCCATGACTGTGTTAGAGGACAAAAGAGCTGGCGTGTGACCGGACAATGTTTGATCAGAGGAGGATGGGATGTCCGATTGGCTGGGGACAGGCGAGGAGGATGCTGGGTTTGTTCCTGAACTGAACCTATTGAAGAACTTGTTCAGTTCATTGGCTGTGTCCAGGCTGCCATCTGTGCAATCCTTCCTCTGCTTGAAGCCTGTGATCTTCTTCATCCCTGACCAGACATCTCTGATATTGTTCCTCTGTAGGTTGTTCTCCAGCTTCTTCCTGTATGCCTCCTTGCTGTCTCTGATCTTGATCTTCAGTTGCTTCTGTATACTCCTCAATAATTCCCTGTCTCCCTCCTTGAAGGCTCTTTTTTTCTCATTTAGCAGATTCTTCAGTTCACTGGTGATCCAGGGTTTGTTATTAGCAAAGCATCTCACTGTTCTGGTGGGTATGACGTGTCCACACAGAAGTTTATATAATCAGTGACACATCCAGTCATGGCATTGATGTCCTCTTCATGTCCGTGGCAGAGAGTCATCCAATCTGTGGTCTCAAAACAACCCTGCAGGGCTTCTTCAGCGTCCTGTGACCATTTTCTCACAGTTCTTCTTGTCACAGGTTGCCTCTGAACAAGTGGTTTGTATTCTGAGCAGAGAAAAACAAGATTGTGATCTGATTGTCCCAGAGGAGGTCTTGTTTTGGACATGTATGCATTCTTTACATTTGCATAACACAGATCCAATGTCTTGTTTTCTCTGGTGGAGCAGCTGACAAACTGTTGAAATGTTGGAAGTGTAGCAGAGAGTGAGGCATGATCAAAATCACCAGATATAGCCACAAATGCATTGGGGTGCTGGGTTTGTAGCTTAGCGACAACGGAACTGATGGCATCACATGCATTTTCAGCAATGGCTGAAGGTGGAATATAAACGGTTGCCAAGACAACACTGGTGAACTCTCTTGGCAAATAATATGGGCGACAACTTACTACCAAGAGTTCAACATCTGGGCTGCAGAGACGACATTTCACTGAAACATGACCTGGATGGCACCATCTGTTGTTGACAAGCACTGCCACTCCACCTCCTTTTCTTTTCCCGCTCCTCTTCAGATCTCTGTCTGCTCGTACAGTCAGAAATCCTGGCAGAGAGACGCTGGAATCGGGGATATGGTCCTGCAGCCACGTCTCACTGAAACACATAACACTGCACTGCCGATACTCTGGCTGAGTCCTTGAAAGGGCTTGGAGTTCATCCATCTTGTTGGCCAGTGATCTCACATTGCCCATTATGATCAATGGCAGAGATGGTTTGAATTTCCTCTTTCTCTGTCTCCGTTTTGCTCCCGCTCTGGACCCACGCTTCTTGCGTTTTAGCTCATTTGGGATTTGTGGCTTCAGTTGAGGTATTATTTCAGCCTTCCCAATGTTAAGCAGCTGCTCCCGATTGTAAACCAGCTTGTTGCCATGGTTACGCATCATAACAAATGCTCAAAAAGTGAAAAATGAGCAGTAAAAACAGAGCTACTCCAACATGCAGCCACTCAGAGCAGCGCAGTTCCGAAAAAAAAAATCCCTCCATCTCAAAATCCTCTTCTTTTCCAGTGTTTATCCAAGTCTCTGATATTGCTATCACATCAAATGGTTGATTAAACTGTGCTATATATGCTTTAATAAATTGAAAGTTTGCATATAGACTTCTACTATTGAAACGAACAATAGTTATATTCTTACCCCACTCTATGCTCCTATTAAATTGTTCCATTGTATAATAATTACAGTCCTTTAACATTTTAGTAAAAAAATTACAGTCAGGATCTATATTGCTATCATACCCCAATGTCCCAGTTTCAGCATCCATTTGATTTGTTACTTGAAATCTGTCAGCCATCTGACTTTGTTATACATCTTATCCTCACACCATCACCTCTAACAATACTTCGTCTAGGCCAAGTACCATCCTATTTGACAATTCATTAAAAGTACCATCGACCATCCCAATGCTTTGCCTTACATTTTATCAGCTGTATTTTTCCAGTTCCATCAGCTCTTTAATGACTAAGACCTTTGCCTGCTCCGGTGTTCTATTTAACTTAATGAACACCTTACAATCTGATGTCCAGGTTGACTGTATTTTCTTCTGTTTTCTTAATAATATTGCTTGTCTTGCAATATCTGCATTTTTCTTGGTTAGATGTTCATTAACATACACATTCGTTCCTTTCAACTTTCTTCCTTGCTTCAGTAGCTCTTTTTTCTGCTTCCTATTAACAAATCTTATAATAATGGCAGGTTTTTGATTCTTTTTTTTCCTTGGAAGAGTACGGCACCCCTCAGTGTCCTTACTATCCATTTCAATACCTTTACTATTGAAAAAGGCTATTACATGTTCTTCCAGGGAGTGCAACTCTTGCTCAGGCGGCTCCCCTCTCTCTTCTGCTGCTGCTCGTGCATATGTCTGGTGCTTGGTTTCCAGACCCGTTACTATTACATCTGATATTCTCGAATATTGTTCCAATTCTGCCACTCGTACTTCCAACATAGCAATCTTCTTGTCCTTTTCCTCACTTTGCCTTCTTAATTCTTTAATATCCTCAATTAAATTGATTATCAGTTTTTGTTGTTTTGCAATGGTTGTAATCTCTTCTGACATAAAGTTCAAAGAATTCTTTATGTCCTCCAGTTCTTCCTCATTGATATTACTTCTTTTAGGCGGCATCTTCTAAATACTTGTGCCTCTTTTTTTTACTGCAGCCTCAATCAATCCTGAGGCTTGCCAGCTCCGGGCCTGCCTTTTCCTGTAGCTTCACTAGCTCTTGATGGAGCCTGGTTGTGGCCTGGTGGCTGCTGATGGTGGAGCTAGGCTGTGGCCTGCTGGCTGATGGTGGAGCCTGTCTGTAGGTCCTGAATCACACCCTTAAGACACCCCTTTAGCAATATTTAGATAACTGGAGGTGAAACGACTGAGTACTCGCAGCCTGTGACCAGAGACATAATTAGAAAACCAAGCGGGGGTTAGGAAAGCCCTCGGTGTGGAAGCACACAGCCTTCTTGGCTTCAGAAAAGAGTCAGGACTAAGTGGACGGTTATTGATGTCCACTTTTTTCAATGCACTGATTAGAACATCAGCTTCACCAAAAACATCAAACAGGAGAATTTAAAACTCTAAACCCATGTCCAGTCACAGTTTAGCTTTTGGTGTTGGGAATGGATCTCTGGTTAATCTCCCACTGGTTTGTCTGGGATTACAAGATAACTTTCTAACATGGATAAAGAGCAGCCAGTATTTTAACACAGAAGATGGAGGCCTCCCAGTCTGAACAGGTTTCATTGTCATGAGAAGTAAAAACATTATTAAACTCCATGAATTTGTCCTTGTAAATTTGAATTCTCATGTTTGTGTCAGAATCACTTAGAATATAAATAAGACAGGAAACGTTTGCTCCATCCTGATCAGACGTCACGATCCTTTCTGTTGCTGAATGTTTATCTGAAAGACGCCATGATTTAATTAGACAGCGTTGCAGATTTTGACTGATAGCTACAGCTCAGGCTTCAGCTACATGATGTATTGCTAAAGCTTCCCGGTTTATGCACAAATATTAAACAGAAAAGAGAAATCAGATTAGTAATTTTTTCTGGAAAAACCAGAGCAAAAAGCTGAAAGAGCAACAGAGCTCTGTTATGTAAAGAATGCATCTTAGTTTGCTTTTACCTTTATTACATTTATTAGCTACAACAGAAGAATTGTGTTGAATTCGGCATTCGAGCAGACTTCACACCAACATATTTATTATGACACCTATTTCTCTTGAGGGATACAAACGAGGAGGTTGAAGGAAAATATAACCGCCTGATTTCATCATAAAAGGCTCAGGGGAAAAATTGGAATTTTTAAAGCGAGGGCACTGATCCTGTAGGCAGAAGCCCTTCACTTGCATTAATTTGCTATTTTTTTCATGTGGCCTGAAACATTTGGATGAGCTCTCCAGGGGCTGCCGTCAGCTTCACCATGGCACTACTTACCACTTCAGTCTGTAGTGCTTTTTCTGCTGTCAGGAAACTGTATGTAATGTGCAGCTGCTACTGTGTTGGCTGTGCAGAGGGCATGGTTCAAAATCATTTTCAAACAGTCGCTTGCGAGCTATTGTGCAGGACGTACTGCGTCAAATGAGAATGGATCAGGGCTGCAGAACTGAAAAAAAAAAACAGCAAAGCAAGAGTTTTTAAGAGGAAAATGTGTGCAATCATGGTGTTTTACCTGTCACTCCACGGTACACTCAGCAGGACATGGTGTTACTAAAAACGAGCGAGCGTACATGTGTGAGTGTGAGAAAGCAAGTAGATTAAATGCAGCTATTCTACAACCTCATTGTCTCCTAGATTTATCATAAGTCTGTAATCCCCCCAGATCATAAAACACTTGCATTAACTCATATTATCAAAGATAAATAAAACACAAACTAACATTTCTACTGGAACAGGGTGTGTCTCAGACAGATCTCTGCATCCTGGTGTCAAACCGTCATCGTTAGTCCCATGTTGTCACTAAAACACTTAGGAGCATGCAAATAGTTCCCGTTTCCCAGTGAACAGCTTTGCTGTTCTTATCAAAACACTGTTCTCTTTTTAGTGATTGATGCTCGGTCAGCACTTCTCTGCCAACTGGTTTTAAACGTTTCAGAGGTCACTAACAGGGGTTTCTTTTATACTTCTGGCTTGTATGTGCCACTCACCAGAGTATTGGTGAAAATAAGAGGTTTTTCAAAGCTAGTTTTTTTCAGCTTGTAAAATAACAGGAGAAATCCTGTGATAAGAACTGGTTGTTGATCCAAGGAAACCAAATTATATGCCTTTAAAATGTAAAACCCAAGATCTTAGCGTAAAAATTAGCGAGTCTCTGTGTTTTTAAAAAGTCGTGACTTGGTATCAATGCGCGCACCCTCTGCGCGCTCCCTCAGCATTTGGCCATGACACTTCCGGTTCCTCTCTGACTGTCATATGACCTGCGCTCTGCTGTCATTTCTGTAGCAGCTAGCAAACCACATCTAACAGCTTAGGCTTCTTCGGGATTCCTCCACAACAATGGCAACACTGGTGGCAAACAGAAATGTGGATATCAACGGTTTGGCAGCCGCTGCGAGGACACACACTCAAGCTGTGACCAGGAATTACATATCTCAGCCCAGGCTAAGTATGTTGCTAACGTTAGCATATTGCTACTGCTTACAAGGTTGCTTCAGTGACGTTCAAGACTAAGTTATGGTGGGAGATGTTAGTATTTCCTTTAGTTGTGCATTTAATGTAAGTCTTTAGAACAATGATTCACAGTATAAGATTTTCAAAACAAAATCCGTACTTTATAAAACTTATTTAGACTCGTTAGCACTGTTTCAACCCGGTTATTCAGTGATAAAGGTGTCGAATCAGCTGATACTTTTAAACTTGACCTGACCATCTAACCTCTATCAAGTATTGTATTTTATTATGATATGGAACATGCAGTATTATGCTGATTGGTTAGTTTATGCATTTTGTTGTTTTAGAGTTGAAATGTTAACGTTGTGGATTCTAGCACAAATTACCATTATTCCCACGGAACCTGAACGTCACACAATAGCACTAAAGCTAACAGGCTAAATATGCGGTTACGTTAATAAATCAGTGCGTCAGTGGTGCAGTGATGCCACTTGCATGTAATATGAATTGAAATTACAGACAGAAGGAAACATTTCATATGTTAGAATAAACGGAATCAAGTCACCAGCCCTGCTAGGTTGACATGCTAGCCAGCTGCTCCAGCGCGATGGTTTTAAGCCTATCACAACAGAAATAAATTTGCCTTATATGGCTGAAAACGTGGTGTAGTTGTTTTTATTAAATAAGACATTTTTGCTCTCTTTTCTAGTTATAGACCGGTTAGGGTTAAATGTCCTCTGCAGTGGAACGTCTGAGTCAGGTGACCCGGATGGAAGATAAATGAGTGAAACGGCTCATCTGGCTAAAATCAGCTGGTTTCATAACACAATACACACTCAGACTTTCCACAAAGTGAGCTTTTGGTTCTCTGCTAAATATACACTCAGTGATTTGGACATGTAGACAGCGAGCAGATGACAGATGGATGTTCACTCATGTGACTTGATCACGAGCGTTGCAGCTTGTTGTGGTGTGATGAATGATCCTCTAGTTTCAGGCTGTAGTAATCATATTCAACCCAGCTGAACAGTAGAGCTTCACATATTATCATTATGATAAAAAAAAACTCAAGCTCCTAAACATTTCCATTCTTTTATTTCATTTATTTACATCAAAATCAGTATACAAAACTAAGTTACTAAAACCAAAATGAAAAGGGGACAGAAAGATGGAAAACTTAATTTCATTGCTGTTTGAAACATTTTATTGTTTTTTTTTCTTCATCTATTGGATCGTTCTAAGACAACAGAGTGCTCAATTTTCTCAAAGTTTAAAAGGGCAAAAAAAAAAACAACTAATGTTTTAATGTGGTCCTTCAGAGTTTCTTTCATTAGCATGTCATCTTTTCTAAACGTGTTGTAATTAGGGGACATTTCAACCAGAAACACAGTTTGAATTGGAAGAAACAGATTTCTCTTAACAGACATCAGTAATTAGTCTTTGTTACGTTCATTCTGTGTTGATTTTCTGATGACATATTTAGGCCCGAGCAGCGAAAGCGCTGAAAAGGCCTCTTGTTTTTCCTCCGTTTATTATTATTATTATTTTTATTATTATTATTATTATTTTAGTTTTTTTTAATACAGTAGAAGAGCTTTTTTTTTACCTTCTTGCTAACCGTGTTGGCTTTAGCTGTCGCCTTCGTCAGAGCGTCACCAAAGTTGGCAGTGTCACATCCGTCTCCGTTATTGGAGAACATTCATGGTACATTAGGGATGTGTATTGGTGAAATTCTGGCGATACGATACAAGGGAGACGATACGATATCATGATAAATTGCAGTACATTAAGCCAGTTGATCTTATCAATTTTCGAAACTGAATTTATTGTAGGAAAATTCAGTAAACAGTTCAAACTGATACGTAACATGTTTAACACGGGGCATCTGAAACATAACCCATTTCATACTAGCGTTCAGCATTTGAATTGCACCAAAAGAAAAAAAAAACCCCACAAATGTTTGCATGTTAAGTCTTACAAAAATTCGATACACTGCTTTTGAATTTCGATATATCACCGGAAAAATATCACGATATATTGCAATATCAATGTTCTCTTACATCCTTATGGGACATGGTGATCAACGAGGAAGGTGCGTGCAGTAGAGGGTGACATCGTCCTCTACTGCCTGCAGATAAATGGAGATGTAAGCGACACCACCAACATTGGTGATGCTCTACCGAAGGCGGCAGCTGTAGCCAAAACTGTCAGCAAGAAGGTAAAAACTGGCTCATCTACTGTGTATAAAGCAAACTCTGTAAATATGGAATCAGTAGTTTACGGGGTATCCGCGGGTCCTTAAAAAGTCTTAAATTTGCTTTTCCAAATTTAAGGCCTTAAAAATCCTTCAAAATGACAAATAATCCTTAAATACAGTTTCCAAAGGTCTTAAATTACCAAAGACCCAATAAACAAGATTATTTTATTTCTATAAAGATTTTGTGAATTTCTAGTTAGTGTTCAGCATTTTTTGTGTATGATATTGGCCTAGGCGGAACCGTATACATTCAGTGAAAGGGGGCTATTTTTAGATGAGCACATTAGCTGGTTAAGCTAGTGGGAACTTGCGCCATGGAAAAGTGCAAGTTTAATGGTAACTAAATTAGGATGTTATGTTGAGAAATGATGGGGTTGGTGCCATGTTGTCAAATTTAAAGTAAAAGATTTCACTCATTAAAGCGCTAACTCCTTCTTTTCACCAGTTTAATCAATTTCCCTCTGGGATTAATAAAGTATTTTTGAATTGAATTGAAGAAAGAGTAAGAAACAGTAGCAAAACAGCTGGGGATCGTACTATGTGCCATTTAGCTGCTGTTATTGTAGATGGGTTCCCGTCCACCAGCAGCAAAGTGTAATGCTTGGGACGCGTTCCAGAAGGGAAGGGATGATATCATGTTTTGACTCTATTTTTTACACGCTATGCTTCCACAACACATCAAACTCCGCAGTTTAGCACCATCGACGTATATACTGGACAATTCGTGTCCATAGGCTCCAATAAGTTTTTGAGCCAAAATGGCTGGTGGCCACCACCTCCATTTTGACCGTGTCACAGGTTTCGTCAAGCCCAGACAATTCCATAAAAGGGAAAAGAGGTGGAGCTGAGGGTGGGGCTGTAAGGCTGGGATCAAATGACGAAACCCCTCGAACTGAAGCGATGTAGCTACAAGCTAACCCAAAGCTAACGCGGAGGTGGGAGCTAAGCTAACAGAGGTAGCTACCTAGCTGCAACTGGAGTTAACTGTGCACAACACCAGAGTTTCTGAGTCAGAGATACGCCGGGCTGACCGCTGGGTAAAACCGCGTGGAACACAGAGGTCTCCCGAGACCTCCACTAGCCGGCAGCAGACAGGCGCCGTGGCGATCAGAGATGTGCCGAGCTGCCACTGAGGGGAGGGAGTCCATACCGATAGTCGGAACCAGCTCCACCAACATGTAATATTTCAACCCATTTTCTAAAGTGCAGCATTATGTTAAATGCACTGGGTTTTACCTTATTACATTTAAATGTCATGGTTAAACAGTACATGTTAAAATCTAAGCTCAGCTCGGCAGTGACCTAAAATACATAAATATAATTTTACTTACCGAAAAAAATGAAGCGGAGACTCCTTGGACGCTCTATAAGTGCAATTAATGCCACAGCAAGTCATTTTGTCCAACAATTGCACAAATAATATCCAAAAAGAACTCACAAACGCTACAACTAATGGTCTAAGTTGAGAGACTGAAACTGACGGGACAGTTTTAAGGCGAGGCCGAGGCTCAGGTTGAGGCCTTTCCCCGGAGCTAGCTCTGCGGTCACTTGGGTCAGATGCTCATTAATTATTCAGAATTTTAGGCATTTAATCCACTTAAACAGAAGAGTGACAAACATTCACCCCCTCAGAGTTGTCATGAGTGTAAACTAGATAATTTAAACCAAAAACATGTTTTGGAACCAGGCTGTAAACATGTTTATTTCTGCTGTGAAATTGGTATTTTTAACATGGGAGTCAATGAGGATTTGCTCGCTCCTGACGCAAGCCCCTAGTGGATGAGGGTGGGACTGCAGTTTTTGTCACTTCCGTATTGGCTTCAATTTCAGACCCGAATTATGGGGGCTTGTTTAGAACGTGCCAGACAGGAAGTCAGACTCAAAGCACTGTAAAACATCCAGAAACTTTCAAAATAAAAGTCACTTGCAGATCATTGTACATCATTTCCTGTTAACCCCCTGTAGCGGAGGTACACGGAGCAGAAAATGAGGCACAGACCTTTTTGGATACATGCAGCTGTCGTCCAGAATATGTGTGATGTTACAATTCTCCTGTGATTTTATGACTTCATGGGACCAGCTGTGTGGAACGCTGATGCTCCTGGTTGGAAAGGAGCTTGCAGGTGAAACACCTCTGTTACACGCTGTTTTCACATCCAGTGGAAAGCCAGAATTGGACTACGTCCACACTGCCAACCATCAGAATCCAGTGTGACCGGTCGACGGTCCTGATGTGATTAACCCTTCTGTTGCTGTTGCTACAGTTGTATTTTTTCCCCTTAGCAAGGCCTACTGTTTAGGAAAGGAGCTGCAGGATAAAACAAACCGTGTGGATGTGCCACCCGTGTTTTTGCATGGACCTGATCAGATAAATGTCTGTAATGACAGATTTTATCTGTTATTTCAGTCAAATCTATCAGAACAGGCTTCTCCTTCTGATATCTGTAGCGTATAAACCTATAAAGATTCTTATCTCACTCTGTAAACCCGTACTGAACCACGTAGGGCTAGGTCCTACCCCTTTTAAACATCCATACTGTTGGATTTGCACGATGACTGTTTTCTGTTTGGATCAGACAGAATCTCTTCTGCCTGTCCCATTCAGGATACACAAATCCATAATGAAACCAGAAGTTTTACTATGCATCAGTCTATAAGATCTTGATGTTGTGTAGCTGTGTAGATCTGCCAGAGGTCTAAGAGGAGCCGCTACGGGAACGCCGTGCTGAGATGGTGCA